GTGTGTGTGTGTATTTGGGCTCCAATCTCTCTTTCATACATGTTTCATTAAAGACGACTGACTAGGTACTGCGATTAAGTTTTTATTCATTTTTTCCTCGTGTCCGTTCAAGTGTCTTCTTTTCTGGATAAACGTACGTAAAGACTGTCCGTATATATATCTATATATCTGAGCGCTTTCGGCTATTCTATTAGCCATTATCAAGAAGGTTTATAAACATCCTTGATAATAGTTAATAAAATAAACAAAAGCTCTCGGATATATAGAACATTCCGATAGTTTTTGCACACTAAGAAGTGGCAGAGACGCATAAACAGATTCAAAATGTCACCAGTGAAAAATATTAAAGAATTTTCGTGGAATGAGTCAATAAACAGAAAATGCATTTAAAAGAATAACAAAAATAAAAAATGAAAACAAACAAAACAACGACTCCAACGACGAAAAATAAATAAAAGAAACAAAGAAACCGAATTAGTAATTGTAGGAATTGGGAAAATAAAAACAAGTGTCGTGTGACGGTGTTGATTAAATTTCTCCATCAACCAGTCAAGAAAACCATGAAGGCAACAAAAGTGAATACTTCATTTTAAACGAAACAGTCGTTATCAACAGACAGGGAGCGTTATGCACCCCGTCTTTTGATGGTGACGATAGGGAGGAGCATCTGAGTCTCTCAGAATGAATGAAGTAAGCGAGTGTGCATATCAAAAGAGGGTGGCGAATCATAATATTGGTTCTGAGTCACCATCAAAGCTTTTAATCTAAAAAAAAAGAAAAAAATTACAAAAATATTTAACAAAAAATATTGTCACTTTAGAGTAGTCAGTATAAGGATTATTCTTTGCAGTTAAAGTGGAAAAAGGTTACATGTTCTCAAGTGTACCCTAATATGTGTTAATGAGTACTATCTATCTATCTATCTATCTATCTATCTATCTATTTGCTGCTTCTTCATATCTATCTATCTTTCTATCTTTTGTTCATCCATCTATTTATGAATGAATGGGTGACTGAGTGGTTAGAACGTTCGCTTTCTGACAATGAAACCCGGGTTCGAATCTCACCACGGTCGATTTGTCAGGAAGATGACTGTCGGTCTGGAGGAGCAGATCCTGTGGAAAGTGCCTAAAAGCCATACAAGACAATGAGTGAAATTGGGTAGACGGAGCGCTTGGAAACCGTCGGTGGTTGTGCTAGCACGAAGTCACAAGTCATCGTGACCGAGGGTTTGAGCGTGCTGTTGAGAAACTATAACTAAGGTCTGCTCAACATAGTTGCAGTATGAACCACAAAACAAATACAAATGTGCCTGAGCAGCCGTTTGCAATGGGGATTAGCTAGCGGCTTTAGTAGATTGGCATCATCGGATACGAGTGGCTGTTCTATCTATCTGCTGCTTCTTCATATCTATCTATCTATCTATCTATCTATCTATCTATCTACGTACCTACTTATCTCGTACACAACATTCTTTTTGTCTTTCTTTCTTTTTCCTTTTTCCTTTTTGTTTCTCGTGATTACATTTTCTTTAATCTTCCATTTCTTCATATTTTTTCGTTTTTTCTCATTTCTTCCTTACTTATATTGTCTTTTTCTTTTCAAAGTGTCAAATTTTCCAAGTCCATTTGTCTCATTTTGTATCAACTCCTATATGGCAGTGAATGCTGGAAAATCTCTTCAAAGATGAAGATACTTGTGGTAACAGGAATATGGTTCTACAGAAGGATGCTGAGAATCCCATGGACTGAAAATATAACTAACGAAGAAGTTTTAGGGAAAATCTAAACAAAAAGAAAATATATGCCTAGGGCACATTATGAGGAAAGTAGGCTTGGAGACTCTGACACTAACAGGATATACCGGCAGCAAAAGGGACAGAAGAAAGCAATGAATAGCCTACCTAACAAGCTTATTTTATAGGAGAGATAGCAAAGAAAAATACCGTACTAAGAACTACAAAGTGATGGAAGTTGTGGAGAGCCATGGTCGTCCATGTCCCGAAGGGACAATTCACATTGTAGAAGAAGAAGAAGAAGAAGGAAAAGAAGGAGGAGGAGGAGGAGGAGGAGGAGGAGGAGGAGGAGATGGAGCTTATAACTCATCAAATAAAGACCGATACAGAACTGCTCGTATGAAATAAGATAAAGCTATAGAATTTAGTAAGATATCACAACTATTTTAAATACTTTACACAAAAACGTTAATTATTAACCACTAAATTTTAAAATTGTTCTATCTTCACACAGACATACATACATACACACACATACACACACACACACACACACACACATATATATATATATATATATATAAAAGTAAGTTTTTCTTTTGTCTTTATTATATATATATATATATATATATATATATATATATATATATATATATATATATAGGAAGAAGAGACTAGAAGTAATAGAAATATGGTTCTACAGAAGGATGCCGAGAATACCATAGACTGAACATTTGAGCAACGATCTAGAGATAATGGCAATAAAAAGGATACTTATGTTGTCGAAGTCGTGATGGCGGACCTTGGTTTGGGAGAGATGGCAAAAAGATAAAAGTTATTAAGAATAGGAAACTTTATCCTATTATATATATATATATATATAGACATATATATATATAATAGGATCACGTAGGAAACAGTTTTTAAATTTAACATGTTTCATATTATTAATTCGTCAGAGATCAAGATAGAAATGATAAAATATGATAAAAAGCAAAGAGACGCAGATTAATGGTATTTGATTAATGGTGTGGTGTTTCGTTAATCTTTATTGGTTAGATATGTGTCACGTATAATAGATTCAAATATTTTTTAGGAACAGCAGGATGTTTTTGAGAACTTTTGTTTATTATATATACATACATATATATATATATATATATATATAAACAATGGCAAAACTTTACGTTGTCGACGCGTTTTGTTCTCTGATGGATGTAAGTATTTTACTTTGCAACAAGTATTCATAAACAGATGTAAAAAATGCCTTCAGTTTTTCAAAATTTTTAAATTTAAGAACGGAATTAATTTAGGCTAACTGAAAGTCAAGGTAAACTATGGCGGATGCTATGTGATGTAATTTAATGGCTAATAAAAGAAAGTCAATAAATGCAGTTATTGTTGAATATTTTGTAATGTAATAATTATTTATTTTATATTACTTTGACAAATTAATCATATGTATTCATTTATTTGAAATGATAGAAGTTTTTGAAGCATATGGTCTTTATTCATATTTCCTTTTTAAAGATATCATATAGTTATGTCTGATTTTATACACGAATCATACCATACACACACACGCATATATATATATATATATATATATATATATATATATATATAGTGGAACCTCGATTCAGGAATTTAATTCGTTCCTGAAGGCCGTTTGTAAGCGGAAACTATTTTTACAATAGGAATCAATGTAGAGAAAAAAAGTCCCAGTACAATAAAATTGGAAAAGAAAAGTACGGCACAAGACACGAATGTATACAACATGGCGGTCGACTAAGAAATGATTCCGTTCGGGTTAATTCGGTCGCGCTCGGTTCGGCAATGTTGTTCGAGAACCGAAATTTTGTTCGATAACCGAGGCGCATTTTCATCTCGAATATTCTGTTCGAAAACCGATTTGTTCGACATGTGAGACTTTTGAGAACCGAGGTCGAATTGTATATATATATATATATATATATATATATATATATATATATATAATTTGCTATATGAGGTTTAATTTCATACAGTTGGTTTCTATGTCTATCTATCTATCTATCTATCTATCTATCTATCAACAGACCACCACCAAACATAAAAATATTTACTAGGCACACACACACATTTACGAATATACATTATCACTCGAATCCCGCATAGACAAATTAGAATAATGATACACTTACACACATAAATTAAACACACAAATGCTACTTGACAATCAAATGCATGTGAAGTCTGCTTAACCAATGAAAGATAAACAACACAAAAGTAATAACACGAAAAAATAATTCCATATCTCATTCTTTGATGAATCTTTAATAAAAACGATTCATACTAGATTTATAAACGTTTCTGTCGGATTCCTATTTGATCCTAATTCTTCTTTCTTTCTTTCTTTCTTTCTTTCTTTCTTTCTTTCTTTGTTCATCTATCTATCTATCTATCTATCTATCTATGTACGTACGTGAGCAGAAATTCTTTACTAGTAAAAATTCTGTAATAAGTAAAAGCCACTTAGAAGTTTTACCTACACATTTTCTTAACATTTCCTGCTTTTATACGAGTGAGCATTGGTCAGTAGTCGGTGTATGTAAGAATTACACAAAAGGTCTTTACTGAGCGTCTTGCCAGTTTATTAAGCCGTTATCACAAACCAAATCCTTCATTAATTGAGTCAAAAAAGTATAATTATCGATATTATTATTATTATTACATTTTTCCAATTTAGTTTATGATTTTCTCTGTAGCGGTATTTGTGTATTATGATGGCGTCACGTATAAAGCAACTCGTGAGTGAAATACTTTTCTGAAAGTCGAATATTTGTCTACGTATATCGGATTCAGTTGCAGTTGTTGCTGAAATGCAACCATAACGATTCCTTTTTTTTTTGTTTACCCTGAAACCACCACAATTTGCTGTGTCACCAGAAATGTCATAATAAGAGTCAATAAGATATTTGAACCTGTTTATTTTATAAATCGTCACCGTGATATTACTAATACAAAAGTAGTTTTTTGACGGCTTACCAGCCCTTTGCAGATTATTTAAAGCCAGAAAATATTTTTAGACTGTAAGCATTTTTATATAATATTCTAGCGACACAATTTTTACTAATTAACCCATAGACGGGGGCCGAAGAGGTGAATTGATACTTTTCCCAAAGGTATTTGTGCATAAGTGAATATAATGGACCCAATGGGAATTGGAACTTGGTTCGCAGATGAACAATTACGAGCCATTACCCATTACACCAACCGTACAAAGATTGCAGCACCTGGTATTCCCAAACAGTTACCCTTTTAGGTACTGACCAGGCTCGACGTTGCTTAACTTCGGTGATCGTACAGGAACTGATGTTTCAACGTGATGTGGCCGTGAGCCAAAATCCAAAAAAGAGTTTGTGAAATAAATGATATATATATATATATATCATTCATACAGCCTTTGTCAGTATATTTGTCTTGTAAAAGCCAAAGCACAGAGTGTTTATGGGCATTCAGTCAACTACTTATCTATCACCTTTTAACTGCATATAACACTGTACAAGGAGACAGTCAGACAGACACACACAGGCACATAGACACACGCGCACACACACATATCTATATATACATTAAGCGAGTTTAGTTCACTTCAGAAAACATTGATTAGTAGACACATTCTTATCGATGTATTGATCTGGCGTGGCTAATCTTAACAATTAAGTTGCGCGCTTCGATCTTGGAAATCAGACGTGCCATAAACTGTTGCACAGTTCACACTTCCCGGGCCAGGCTTCAGACTCAGACAACAATTTTTCTTTTTTCTCCTTATATCTATACTCTTTCTGTCTGTCTGCCCGCCCTTCCTCCTCCCCATATATATATATATATATATATATATATATATGTGTGTGTGTGTGTGTGTGTGTGTTTGTGTGTATATGTCAGGTTTGTTAAATTCAGTCAACAAGGTCTGTCTGTTTAGATTTCTATTGTACTTTCCTAATTCCGAGCAAGTAGGTGTATATCTAAATCAATATTGTGGATTTATTATTCAACATTTACTTATATGATACGCTTATAATTGAATTTGAATTTTAGGGTGTAGCCGACAAAATCTTGTCTTCCATACTAACAGCATTCATTTCTTGATAATGACTAAATCATCGAAAGTGTTCTAATAAAAACAGTAGAAAAATATGAACAATGGACAATTTATCTATAATTTTCATTTGGGCGTCCTTAAAATATTCCTAATAGTCGTAAGCAGCGATATTCAAATTTTAGCCACTACGGTTTTTTAAAAATTTACAGCCCAACCAATCTAGTACCACTTTGAATATCGCTGGCTCTAAGTCGGCGTTACGTCAAGAAAAATGTGTGCGCGAGCTTGCATGTACATGAGTACGTGTATGTTTGTGTGTGAGAGAGATAGAGGTAGAGATAGAATGAGAGATAGAGTGCGAGAGAGAGAGAGAGAGAGAGAGAAGGCGAGAGAGATTGAGAGAATGAAGAGGAAAGACTATAAATAAATTGCTCCTTTTGTATCTACTTTGATTGTCCACAAGCACTTATTTTAAAATGCCCACAACGGAACACAGACGCGCTTTTGAAGGGAAATTATATAAACATAATGTGTATTTAGACAGTAATCCTTTGTTAAAATATTTGTTAAAGATCGCAGACAAGGGAATTAATTGCTTTTATTTAACCTTTCCCGTTTGCGAACCCAACAAAGCAGCTCATTGTTAAATGTATATAAAAACAGTTCAAAGCTTATAGATCTAGTGGTTTCAACTACAGGCCTAGCCATTACAAAGATGTGAAAAAATTATAGCTGAGACAAAAATGATGGTAGCTTTTTAAATTTACAGTCTTTTGAAGTTGGCATCATTTAAGCTAAATATTGTCTGGAATGTCTCTTGCGAAGCGGTTGTTACGCGGAAACTGTGATGATATTTCAACCTCAAATTCCAACCAAAGCCATTGAGTTCGCTTTCGCATAGATACCCTTATAAAGGTACGAATCCATCTCTTACCCCAGTTAGGGGCTAACAGTAAGTTAGATCGAACTTTATCTTTGATTGGTAATCAGTTTAAGAAAAAGACAACAACGAACTCAAACCAGATGCCGTTGCTGCTAGCAGCTCTAAGCCGTAAACATTTAGTTACTACAGAAAATACAGCAGCAACATCTTGTGTAGCGAAGCTGTGTGTTGAAGCAGAGGAGTCCAGAATATCAAAGCACGTATATATTGGCTGATCACTGTCCTCCATTGACCACTCCTATTCGGAACTTAGGATTTCTTCAGATCTTTCAAACACAACATAGGCGAAAGAGTCTCTTGTCTTGGATCTTACCGGAATAAAAGTCCATCCATCAAATATTATGTTATATTTGTTATCTTGCCAAGGATCCTGATTTTTACTACGGAATGACACGGCGTATAATGTTGCATTTGGTGTCTATGATCAGGATGTGTAAAATCTAAGGGAACTATCGCTCGCCATTGTCTTAGAGTTGTTGGTGTTGTGGCTGGTGGTCTTTTTTTTATTGTATATTCTTATGGCGTAAGATGAAAAGTGAAGTGAGGGGGGGGATTTATTCCTCTGATTTTCCGAAATATGAAATCAGACTTTAACCAAAACAAACATTTACTTACTATCTTAATCGATGTCCACAAATTATTCATTGGTCTCAGAAATCTAATTGGATTATTCTTTACGCAATGAATATTTGATAGGAATATAGAATTCTTGGAATTTGGTTTACTTGCCATGTCAGTACGCTGTAGAGCAACACTGAAAATAGCTCTTTGAATTAATATTTTATGGTTTAAAGTTATTCCACGAGGATGTGGTTAAAATGTATCTGCCATGTTGTTCTCTCGTTAGAATTAGCATACCAAACTCAAATTAACGGTTTCTTTGAAATTTTTCAACGAATTCCTTTAAACATAAGCTTCGGAATCAATTCTATAATGCTTCGATCGTGTATTTTCCGGTCTTCCACGGGTGTCTAGTGTTTAAGAATGTCAAATATTAAATTAACACACACACACATATGCGTGTGTATACATTATATATATATATATATATATATATATATATATATATATATATACACGATAATTATATGTTATGCTATATATATATATAAATTATGTTATGCTATATATAAATTAATTATATGGTATGCTATGTATACATAAATTATATGTTATGCTATGTATATATATTAGTTGTATGTTATGCTTTCTCTCTCTTTCTCTCTCTCACTCTCTCTCTCTCTCTCTCTCTCTCTCTCTCTCTATATATATATATATATATATATATATATATATGAGATAACGATATATATTTTATAAAGTCTCTGTCATATAATTTCCCAATATATATATATATATATATATATATATATATATATATATATATATATATATATATATATATAAAAGGAAAAGAAATAGTACAACTTGTGAATGCTTCAGCAGTGAGAGGAATGTTTTGTAATTTGGAGATGTTCAATGTTGTAATACATTTAATATACTTTCACTTGGAAATTCCTTATAGGACGACAGTTAATAGAATTTACGGTTAAGGCTATTTTTATTCTTTTCTTTGTCTATATTTTAATGTATCAGACGTATTGAACAATATTTTAATCTATCAGACATATTGAACACCCAGACACCCCTCGTCTAGTAAAATGAATTCATCTGTCACCTTGGAAACATGAATTATGATTTTTAGCTGTATCTTTAAACCCCAGTAATTTTAAAAGTTACTCCAAAATTCGCTTGAGGAGGAAATGGAACTAATGTTTTTAATTTAATTATTCGGGGCTTTTAGCTTCCATTTTTGAAACATGGTTAGAACTGTGTAGCGGAAAAAACATATTTAAATCAATTAATTTATAATATATAATCGACTCTCCCGTCGCGTTCGACGTATGAGGGTCAGGCCGATAAGTCCCCAGGAAACCGACATCCCGACACCGGCACATGAGATTTGTTTATAGTGGTGAAGGCCTTGTGCAGGACCAGCCACACTTTTTGGAGGACGAATACAGAAACCTGGTGCACCGAATGCATGCCACAAGGTTCCCAAACGACCCTCCGCAGGTTTTGAATTCAGAGTTGTCCTTCTCCTAGACCAGTTGCCATCCAAGGCTATAGAACCCAGTCTGTCCTTTAAATCATTAGTTGTCTTTCTAATCGATTGGAATCACATTAGCTAGAAAGTGTGAATAATATATATATATATATATATATATATATATATATATATATATATATATATATATATATATATATGAGAGAGAATGCGCTCTCAGACTCAGATTTGATATTTCAAAATACAACGAACATCATAAAAAAAGGTAGAGGCGATACAACCTAAAGGTTGTGGTAAAATAAAAATAAGATATTGAATATGAATTAACCTGTATGAAATGAGTAAAATTGACACACTTTACCGGATCGTAATTTCTTCAATGAGGGTAAGTTTTACTCTGGTTATTTCCTAATCCAAGTAAAGGCCTCATTACGTCCAAACGGGGAAATCTTTATTACTCAATATATATATATATATATATATATATATATATAAAAGGGCAAAGAAATGATTTCATCGCTCGAAAACTAAAGCACAAATATCAATCCAGGTAACACGGATTTATTCTAATTTGATTATTATTCACACTTTCTAGCTAATGTGATTCCAATCGATTAGAAAGACAACTAATGATTTAAAGGCCTTCTTGCTCTGTCAGATGCTGGATAAATTATTGAAAATTAATAAATGTATTATGTAAAGTATTATAAATGTATATGCAGCTCTGTGCTCCAGTTCGATATTTTGCAAAATTTCAACCTTTGTGCCCGTAACATGAAAAAGAAAAAGGGTCAGAAGGACAGTTTTTCCATTGACATCGCATTTCATTAATCGGTAATGTTTATTGTTTTAAAAAGTGATAGAATTGTAATAAAACCCAGGGATATGAAAGTGAATTAATTCATTTTCTTTATTCTTGAGAATCAACAACAAAAATAGTAAACACTACGTATTAGACTTTATTTATTATTGCTTATTGGAATAGTTGTCAAAACATCGGCTACGTCGATTCGAACTTTATAAAATGGTAAATAATAAGGAATTCCTTATAGTTGGTTCATATATTTTAATAATTTAATAAATGTTTATAAATTTATGAATAAAAAATTGTCTTCATATTTATTTCTTTATAAATTTTTAAATTATAAATATTGTATTGATTTTAATTGTATTAGTTTTTAGAATGTTGTAAATATAAATATAAATTTATTCTTGTAAATAAACACTCCAATAAATAAATAGTGTTTAGTATTTTTGTTGTAAATTCTCAAGACCAAAA